CCTAAACCCCTAAACCCTAACAAGAAAAGCCAAAGTCTCCTTTGGCTTCGCCTTTGGTACCTTCTCCCTTGAGCTCGCCTTTGGCACCCTGGCACCCACAGAAACTCGAACGCTTGGCTCTACCCAAACTCCAAAAGTTTAGGGTTTAGGGTGTAGGGTTTGGGGTTTAGGGTTTAGGGTACCTGAACCTAAAGTATGTAAAATAATAGCCCTAAACCCATAATAACAGCCATAAAGGCCATTATCTTACATACTTTTGGGGTCCAGGTAGCAGTTATCTACTCCCTTGATAAAGATCTCCCACTCCCCGTAAGGAAAGGACAACAGAATAACATTATGCGGCACGTAGGGGGAATACTGACTTTTGGGGACGTTCTCCAAGTAGGGTACCCTCAGTGAGCCTAACGGTCTATGGTCAGGATAATAGAAGACAGGTAGGGCCGCCTTTGGGTAGTGAGGATAACGGTAATGGTCGGGGGGTTTTAAGAGGACCCCCATTTCGTGCGGGAGTGTAGCGACGGTCCATTGTGATTCCTCACGCCTCTTCTGGTAACTGTTGCAAAGGGAATTGACCGAACACCTGTGTCCAACACTGCTACACTGCCTAAACAAGTATAGTTCCGACACTATCCCTTATTCACATCCCTATGCGTGCCACCCACTTGCCGTTGATATGCAGGGAGGGCCGTATATTCACTTTAGGAAGTTTTAAAACGAGGAAGCCGTGTTAATCCTAGAGCTCGTACAAGGCACTTCTCAGGTACTAAAGTGCGAAGCACTGGTGGTCTATGATAGTCATGATGAGAGACCATATGATACTATCTGGCTTCAAGTTGCCGTTTCCATACCTCAGTAAAGCTCAACCCTTATCACATTCGATTCTCCATCTAAGGAGTGATGTCCCCAAACCCTACTTCTACACAAAGGGTCTGCGATTCTAACCTAATCCCTTCTTTGAGCTATAGTCTAAACTCCTCGTATTCCACTCAATAAGCCCTATTATAATGGTCCCCTATATAATCCCATATATAGCCCCCTTGAAGGAGTTTAGATTATGGCTCAACTGAAGTAGCCTCTCCCTTGGTTGCCAGGGCGTAGAAATCTTCTCTCTTGGTTCCTTCCATCTTCATCTCGTTCTTCACCTCATCCGCAACAGGTTGGGTGGCAGGAAAAATGAAAAAAGGGAATTTGTCGGGATAGGTCAAGTGTAGGGTTTACTTCCCTCTTGTTCATTGAAATTGAAGGACTAGAAGGGGAAAATAACAAGGGAATGGAAACTTCAATGCTATTCGGTTTATATAAGGACAGCTACGGGGATTCTTTCCTCAGCTCCATGGTAACAACCTTTCTTCCGGCTTTTAAGGGTTTGGAGACCAAGGGGCCATCAAAGGCAGGGTTGGTCTTACTCTCTGCGCAAGAATCCCCTATACAATCCCAGTTTCCATTTCATTTTCCATGTTCTTTTCCACTTGATTCTCCATTAGAAGGGTAAAATACCCTAAGCCCTAAACCCTATATACCCCTTAAAAAGGGACCTAGGGTTTGCTGCCCTAAGCTCCCCAACGACTAGGGGCCCATAGGTCCACCCTGGGACCTAAGTCAAACTTCGGAAGTGTTAGGAGTTAGGGCTTAGGGTTTAGGGTTTAAGGGTTTAGGGTTTAGGAATTTGCCACCCCAGGGTTTCAGGAGCTGATAAGGACCATATGGAGTTTAGTAAGGCCTAATAGGGTTCTAAGTTGGGGTACATTCTTTGGGGGGGGGTAGATTTCTAACTCCTGAAAGTGGGAGTTTCGCGAACAATCCTCCCTTGATGCTGCTGAATCCCCAGGCTCCCAAGCCACCCACCCCTTTCCAAATACACACGCAAATCTCGGTTATATAGGGACTTGATACAGGGGAGTATTATTAGGAATATTCAGGGGGACACTTGGAGTGTAGACTAATTATAGCTCAAACTGTCTAGAGTTGCTAGGCCGCAGAGGTATGCTTTGTTTCAAGTTGGTTTAGGGTTTACTGTAGGGTTGCGAGCTTGAAGTCCAGCGTAGCGCAAACCAGACTGCATATTGGATGGTCTGCAATCCGTCATAACAGGTTCATACTCACCTCCCTTAACTACGAAACCCCTCCACCCCCCTAATATAAATAATCCACCCAATACACAGTAGCATTCTATTCGAAGGAATTCATTCTCAGCCTACACCCCAAACCCTAGGCTGGTTGGGTAAATCCCAAGATCAGGAATCCTGCTCTCGCAAGGAGGGGCCTTCAGGGACCTTGGGCATAATAGGGGGCTTACAAAGGGCGTGTCTATTGAGGATTCTATAGGATGATTTTCAGAAGCTCCCCCGAAACCCTGAACCCTAAACCCCAAACCCTAAGCGACACTCTGGGAAGCCAGCATCATCCTCGTTCCTCTTCTCTTGCTTGACATTTCCTCCGCAGCAAATTTTGAGCATGATATGGCACTATAAGGCTTGGCCCGAAAACAAGAAGGACGATGGCGTCCACATTACGTTGGGGATACCTACTACTATCAGGACTGTTAATACGTATTCATGCTACTGCCATTCACTCTTGTGTGTATAATTGGGGCTACAAGCCCATGAAGCAGTACACACGATCTCCGAGGCACCTTCTTGCTTGACGCCTTCATTCTTCACTCCCTCGCCCTTCACACCATCCACCTTGATGTCCTGCGTGCTTAGGGTATAGGGCATAGAGTATAGGGTTTAGGGTATGGAGTTCTTGGTTTCCGGTAGAGGGTTCAGGCAATAAGGTTCAGGGCCTGTTCAGCCAAACCACTGAACGTACTATACGAGAAGCAGCCCTCTGCAGGCAATGAAGCCCGTCGTCCAATTTCATGCGCCCTGCTGCTGCTACAGCCGCTGCCACTGCCGCCACCGATACCCGGTACTACTACCACAGCCACTGGCACTGGGACAAGCACTGCCCCCAGCACTACTGCTACTGCTTCTGCCACTGCCACGGCTACTGCTACGGCTACTGCTACGGCTACTGCTACGGCTACTGCTACGGCTACTGCTCCTGCT